AAGAGTGAATTGACATCTGCTGCCCCCCACCCTGGCCTCTTTTGCTCCGTGGCCTCCTTTCTCCTGCACTTTCTCTTCTCCGGGAGGCTGAATCCAGTCTGCTGTCCTCCTCCTCCGTGTTGCCATGGTACCGCCCCTGAAAACAGCAAGTCATGTCCGCCTCTTCAAACAGAAACACTGAGTTTGGTGGGGGCTGTTCCTAACACTGTCCAGTTTATTCTTCTTTTATCATAACTTTTAACAGCTAAAACACTAATCAGAGCTGTCTTGACTCGAAGGTTATTCCTGGCTCGTCCTCACTTATGATGAGTTCCATGCTGTCAAAGATATTCAAGTCTTCAAAATTATGGAAATTAAGTGGCAAGTGCTGAACCAAACATCCACTATTTTTAAGTCAACAAAAGAATATAACAAATGAATTATTATTATTTCTTTATTTACATAAAGTTTTCATTAAGTTTATTAAATATACTGACCTCTGTTTATCACTATAAACATCACAAAGCACAGAGTTAAATTTATTACGTAATCACTTGGTAGCCATGGTGATCGTTCTGCTTTTCTTTTCTCTCATGAGGTCAGACAGCCAGTAGGTGGCACTGCTGTAGCGGTAGACACTGCTTGGTGAATAACTGCTTGGGAGTGTTTGCTGGTTGCTTTTGTGATTTATGAAATGAAACACATTTGTGGAATAACTGCAGTTTGTGTTGGTTCTGTGGAGGATGTGAGTGCAAGTGAGTGTGTGAATGTTAAATTATGTGAGTGTGTGTGTGTGTGTGTGTGTGTGTCACTCACTTATGCGAATGCTTTCAATATAACACGTGTATGGTGCTCCTTATAAAGCCTGTATTTTAAACCCTGCCTGCTAATCCTGCTGACTAATGACTGACACTTGGATTTTGCTCTGTTGTTTGTGTCTCTGCATGGTTTTTCGTGTGGCATGGCTTTGGCTGGCTGCAGGGGCCGTACCTGGTGCGTGGCGAGCAGAAGCGAGAGGGGCCTCTGACAGATTGTGGCGGGAGCGGCACTCTACATGACTTTCAGACAGACCTGGGAGGAAAGTCTCAGCAGCAGCAACAGCAGCAGCAGACGTACCTGCGCTCTTCCCGTGGCCAGCTGCGAGGAAGCAGCAGCCGAGGCCTTTCACGGCAGGACACCTTCGACTCTGAGACCCAGGGCAGCCGGGACTCGGCCTACACAGAGGCCGGCGACTCCTGCATGGACATTGAGACCGACCCCTACGAGGAGCCCGAGCCTTACCGAGGAAGTGGGGGCAGCCGCTTGCACCTAGCGCAGCACCACGGCAGACAGGCGTCCTGGGAGGACGAGGGCGCCGAGCCGGACCAGGAGAACCTCAACCACCCTCCGATCCCGAGCCAGATGCAGCCGCACGGACGAGCCAAGCTGAGGGAGCGTTACTGCCAGGACCCTGTGGACACAGGGGCCAACATGAGCCACAACAAGAATCAGGATGAGTGGGGGAGGGACGTCTACATCCGCTGAACATGCATCACACCACAGAGGCAAGAGAGCTCCTGGACAGACTGAGGATGGAGGGAGAGGAGGGGGAAGATTCAGAAGGAACTGAAATGTGGGGGCCATGCCATTCAGGCTAACAAAAGAATCTGTTTACATCCCTGTACAATGTAAATGAATACATCAACTCCCAGATGCCATTCTCATCATCTTCTTCTTGCAATTCTATTTCTTTATGTTTAGAAAAATGATATTGGTCTGTTTCTTTTGTTTCTTTTGTTAATACTGCATGAATATCATGGATTTCTATACTGACAGCACGAGGACAGTAAGTGTTACGATTGTGAATCTATGATTGTGGTCTGTATGACTCAACCCCTCCTTCAGTTGTAGAGTGTGAAGGCTGGTAGAGCTGTCGTCTGTCGTGTCTGTCCTCCGCAGTCTTAAACAGGGTCTAACGTCACCGTCCCCCATGTGTGTACAGCGTCAGGGTTCTTCTTTACATTAATCGCACTCCGTGCTTGTGGATGTCAGGGTTTCCTCCCATTATGAGATCCAGAGGTCACAAGTCCCACACCTCCACTTTCTTATCACCCAGACCTTAAAAAAAAAAAGAGCTGGTGGAGAAGTTGCCATATTTTATCAAGAACACGTATCGGTGTTGCTACACTCATGTCAGCTTGATAACAACAAAGAACACACTCCAAAGACGTTTACTTCTTCCCCGACCTGGTTCAGCCACTGTACCCGACTGAACACGTCTGACCCAGTCCTCCCATTTCCGTTTACCCCCTTCTCTGTGGGTGCTGAGGGCGCCTGCAGTATTCACTCGTTCTCTGGTTTTTCTAACGCGGTGCAGATTCAAAGCGGAGCTGCAGTCGTGGTCGTGTGAATGAAGTGTCCTGCCTTAGTCACTCCCCAACCCTAATTCAAGAAAAGCTCCAATCACAAGTGCCGGATTGTCTCACCAAGCCATGTCCACCACTGCCACGGTGGGATGTCTTAAACTGTTGTTACACTCGTTTTCATATCATACCTGCGTCTCTTCGTGTCCCAGCGCCCACACTGTCGTTCCAGCACATCAACGCTCATCTCGTTTTCTTTGCACCAGCTTTGTCGTCTGTTTTTCAGGGCTAATGGTTATACTAAAAAAAAAAAAAGTACTTGTGTGTGGCTGATCAACTTCCACCAAAACAGCTAGCTTGTCTGAAATTAAACACCACTTTCTTCTTACTCTTGATTTCTGACTGAATTATTGTTGGGGTTTTTTCCTGTGGACATTTGCAATTTTTTTTTTTTTTCAATTCTTGTGCGGTAGTGAGAGGAGTATCAATTGGGATCGGGGTGGGGGGGGGTAGGATCAGCTTTGGTCTTTACTCAGTTATCTATAATGGAGAATCCATGAATGTCTTTGGTGGGCTGCCTGGGCCCGCCCGTCTTCAGTCGAATAAATAGATATTACATAATGATCAGTAAATAATGTTATTGTTGCGTTATCGCAATTGTTAAAAATATGAGATAACATGTATCATTGGTGCCTGATTGTAGCTGCATTTTGCTTTTTCTGCCTTTCATTTTTAATCTGTGGATAAATTCGTATTTTAATTAAAAATTTAACCAGAAAATGCCACTGTGTCGATTAATTTATATGAGTAGACGATTGTTATCAGAGATCTCAAGGATGCAAAAACCGATTGTACACATGTACAATTTGAGTTTTATTTCTTCACATAGGCCACAGTCAGTGACCGGAGGTATTATGTTTCTGGGTTGTCAAGGATTAATGTAATATATACAGAACACATATACAAAATCTCATTAAGGGATGAGCCTTATTAATGATTAAGGATGACCTTATTAAGATTGGGACAGCAGAGGAAAAGGTCTCTTCACAAAACTTTTTTGCCTCATCGAGGCATTATCAAAAGAACGCCTTGAAAGAATAATTTCAAATTTGGCACAAATGTTCACTTAGATTCACAGATTGACAGATTAATTGTAGTTAAAAGTCAAATGCCACGGTGATCTCAGGAATCATGTTTTTGGCATCTTGAACATGATATCTCAAGCCTGCTTTAAGGTAATTTCTTCAAGTTGTCACCTGGACTCGAGGATTAACAGATTTGATTTCAGAGTGAATTTCATTTCTAGTAAATAGCGTTTTTTTTTCCTTTTATAAAATTAGTTTTTCTGTCTTTTTCCTGAGTTTCCTTCACTTCATTATTTTAACAAAGATACAACAAAAGACTGTTGTGTAACAATGTTGTGTCTAACATCGAACGCCCCCCTGCCTGTAGGAATTATTTCCCAGTCAAGGTGCTATGATGAGTGTGAATGTGCAAATCCTTAACAAAGACGAAATGCACATCTACACAGCCTCTTATAAAGAAATAAATGAACAGGGACCTTTGTGACTTTATTGTTCCCTGCTTTGCATTGACAGGGATTATCAGCTCCAAAATGCTCCTGAAAAAACACACACTAAGCAAAAGAGCGAAGTTGAAGAGCAGCTGCCAGGATGTGGTTTTTTTATTTCTCAGTGTCTCCTCGTCACCTGCAGCGGAGGAAATGTCGCAGATCAGATGGGTGGTTTCCAGCTGACGCTCAAACGTGACACTGACTTTATTTATTCAAAGTCTAAACAGCAGAGGTGGTGGAGACCCTGGTCTGCTGAGAGTGCTGTTGTTTTAAAGGCTTTATGGGTTGGAGCAAATATGTCTTATTTAAGTCCATGATTTCACCTCCTCCTCCTCCCTCTTCTCCTTCTTGTGAATACCCCTACACATACAATACGTTATAGTGCATGTTACATACTATCGCTATACCTGCCAGAGTTGATTGAAATTAATTTATATATGCCTGCTGTAGGGTCGTTAAGTCCATAACAAATCCATCATGGGTGGGAGCTCAAATTTCTCGACTTTATTATAAATATGTTGTTGTTGTTGTTAGAGTGTTTGAAAGTTGGAGAGTCCCTGAACAGATCTGGACTGTTCAGTGGAAATTCCAGGGGAATCCTTTAATTGACTGGTTTTACTTTCTGTTCATAATGATTTGTTATAAAGAAAGAGGAAGGAAAACTGCCTCACCTCTCTGTCCATGTATGGAGTGAAGGAGGGTGAGGGTGCTTTCCATGGAACTCAGTGGACAACTGAAGGAACTGTATTCTTACTTACCGTATATTTATTTTCCTTTTTTCACCCTGGAAACACATAAGACTGAATATTAACATGGCTTTCTATAAGGTAGTGTTAATGATGGGAAAAATAATGAAATTGAATATTCCAGATACAAGTAAAAGACAAAAACAATGAAACAGCCTCTAACAGAATCCACACTAATGTGTCTTTATACAGCAGAAAAACTTATTTTACACAACTGGAAAAGACCCACATTGAACAAAGTGTTTACTGTGCTGCTGGGCTCCTCCTTTGCTTCAGTTTAGATATTCTCCGCAGCAACAGCACTAATGTGCACTTTGTCCATGTGACTGAAAGTCTGAAGAAGAGACTCTGCAGAAGCTCCTCCCACAGAAATGAGTGTTTTTATGTGGTGCAGAAGAGAGTTGTACTGACAGTCACCTGGGATCACACACTGAGGTCTGCCTCCACTGCATTATAGTATTATTAAAAATAAGTATTTATTTATTCTCCTCATCACACAAGTGTTGGACATGGGATTCCTGCTCACAAAGATGTTGGCTGTGTTTGGTGACAAAGGTAAGACTGAGGCTCATTTAAAAAAAAACATTTGTTTTGTTCCCGAGGTCAGTCTGTGTTTGAATGTTAGTTATGATTAGAATAAACACTAAATAAATAGAAATATCAATTTATTTCCTTTTGCTAATCCCAAATTCTGCTTTTAATACATTTTCACCATGGAGTTTCAGACATTTATTTTTAT